ACTGAAAATCATATGTGATCAGACTCCAGTATGAAATCAGGCATGCTTTGAAACTTAGAATTATACTGAAAATCATATGTGATCTCATACAGACTCCAGTATGATATCAGGCGTGCTTTGAAACTTAGAATTAATTATACTGAAAATCATATGTGATCAGACTCCAGTATGAAATCAGGCATGCTTTGAAACTTAGAATTATACTGAAAATCATATGTGATCTCATACTGACCTCAGTATGAAATCAGGCGTGCTTTGGAACTTAGAATCATATTGAAAATCATACGTGATCTCATACAGACCCCAGTATGAGAACAAACATGATTTTGAACTAATATTCGCGCCCGATCGAAACTCACGTGGGTATGCATACCCATAACCATGGTTGTTTATTTGTATTTGTCCCATTGTGTATAGTCCTTCGTAGGGGACTTTAAGCCGGAAGTCCGTTCCTACCCCTAGCTATAGCTTGTGCGGGTAAGGGGTATTAACGGACCGCTGGCCTAAAGTCCCCTCGACGATACACAATGGGACAAGCACAAATAAACAACTATACCCTATAGATTACATTACATTACATCTAAACGAGAACTATATATAAGCTATAGCTTATAAGCTTAAATAAAATTAGCTTGTAAGCTTGGAACTTATGAAATAGGTACCCTTAACTGAAAATCATGCCTGATCTCATACTCACCCCAGTATGAAATCAGGCATGATTTGGAACTTAGAATTTATATTGAAAATCATGCGTGATCTCATACCGACTTCAGTATTAAATCATACATGATTTTGAATGACTGAAAATCACATCTGACCTTATACTGACTTCAGTGTGAAATCACAGAGGGAAAACAAAATCACAGATGCTATCTGGGCATTACCAAAAATCGTAAAGTTAATTTAATCATTTGCCTAAAAGAAAGCGCTTATTTTGTATTAGTTCTTAAAGAAATTATGGCTGATATTTCTTTATTTCAAAAAGTTATAATATTTTTTTAAAGACAAAATCTGTTTCTGTATTTTTCTATACCTATTTAAATCTGTAAAATATTCAGGTCTAGCACGGTTTTCGGTTTTCTTGGAAAAATAACAATTTCTACTAATTATAAAAAAATCTGCATCATCAGATAAATCTTCTACCATTTTAATGCTAACCACAGATAAATACTAACAAAAAAAATACTGAAAATTTTTAAACGTTGACATTTATAAGGTTATGTGTGTTCTAACCCGGCGTTATCCACACAAAATTCACCGATTTGTTAATTGTATGTTGATCACTTAATTAAATTTTAATCAATGTTTATACAACTTGAAAGTTAGCTTAATCATTACATAATTATTATCAAGAGTTAACCAGCTGTTTACCAACTGTTATACAACTGGGCCTTAATAATATTGCTAAACGCGGGAACGCACGACAATATACGTCTTAAATCTATAGATTACAATTTCGTCGGATTAGCTAATTTCCATAAATTATAAATTGAATGTAGGTACAACTTCGTCCGATTATAATCCCTAATTACCTGCTTTGTTTTGCGTCCGGTCGCAGGTAAACGGGATACGATGTTATGGCATTCCGGAGAATTCCGGAGCAAAACACATACCTAAGTAAACCCTTTTGTTTCCTTATAAGCAAAATTATGATACATTTTATTCATTAGTTTCTTTGTTTTGCGTACTCCGTCAACCCCGGCCTCTTGTCTTCTTCTTTTCTGCCTCTTCGAAAATCCTAATAATAATTTAAATATATTATGAATAGATTTAATCGTTTTTGCGAATCCATCGAAATCCATCGCGGATGAGACCAAAATAAACAATATTAATTAACTGTATTATTTTAAAAAAATTATTAAAAAGGTAAACTTTATTTTTCTGTTTTTTTATAACTGGTAGTAAAACGTTTTTTTTTACGACGCATTTGCCCATTTTCACTTTAATAACACTAATGACGGCAAAAATACGATCGGGTCTGGGTTTTTTTGTCTGATTGAAAAGCTGAAATCAATTGATTTTTACTTTTTTTAGTTTCATTGTAAAATAATTACCCCTAACATTAAACTTGGGTAAAAATATTTATTGATTCATTTTTTTTATTATTAAAAACATACATACCTTCCATAAATGTTTACTTTTTAATATAATACGTAGATAATTCAAAAAAATTAAATAAAACCAAAATTGTGTTTAAAAAATATTTGTCTTACTTTTTAAATACTTTTATAGAATTTTAAATTTTAGACCAATTCAACTTATTTGTTCTTTTAAATTTTTAAATTATGTGCTTGCTCTTTAAATAGAAACAGTAGGGGACTTTTTATTCTATTTATTTTTCGGCTCAGAAATATATGTATTAAACATAAAAGAAAATGAAATTCATGGACAAAAACATAGGTATTTCAAATTGAATAAACATAGTATAATATTATTAACAGTGTTTGCCAGTAATACAAGGCATTTTTATTTATAAGAAAATACACCCTGTAGGTAAAAACAATTGTATTTGGTCGAAAGCAAGAACAGGCTCAGTGTACAAATAATTAAAAATATGCTCTGAAACAATATTTTTATTTTTAAAATAAAATACACAGGGTAAAAAATTTGGATTAGAACTGCAACAGTTAAATTTTAAAATTTGCTTTAATAAAATAACAGTTTTTAAAATTTGTCTACCTATATTTTTCAATATAAATTATTTAAAAAACAAAGTGTAAAGGGCATGCATAATTTTTTTCATTAGGTTTAATTTAACTCTTTAGAAAAGCCCCATTTCCAGCAAGGGAGGCAGGGTGTTAAAATATGTTGCATTTATATTTTGAATTTTTGTGTTGATTATTTTCACATCTGCTTTAAGTTTTTACTGCAAAAGAGACATTTTGGGTGGTCACTTTCTTTGAATGTTTAGCATATGGTTTTTGTCACATATTTCTAGTGTAAGCAATACTTTAGGGTATATCTTTTAAAGTTAGTTGATTGTATATTGTCGGCACAGCAAGTTGCTTTTTAACTTTGTTCTACATTTTCGTTTCTGTACTTTTACACTTTTATTTGTTATAATAAACATACATTGATTTCGCTCTGAGCTAGTTGAATTATTTATTTATTCCAATAACAGTTTTTAAAATTTGTCTACCTATATTTTTCAATATAAATTATTTAAAAAACAAAGTGTAAAGGGCATGCATAATTTTTTTCATTAGGTTTAATTTAACTCTTTAGAAAAGCCCCATTTCCAGCAAGGGAGGCAGGGAACGGTAAACTATAATATAGTGCATATTATGCATGCTATAAAAAGTTTCGAGACTCCACCTCCCACCCATTTTCTAGCACAGTTATTCTGGATATGCAATTATTAAGTATAGCTCCCTCCTTTTGATTAAAAAAGTTTATTGTGAAGCCATAATTTATGTATATCAAGCATTAACTAACATATTTTATCCTCTAGAGTTTGTTTCTTATTTTGTTTATATTGTCACAAAATTTAAATGTCTTTTTTCTCTCTTGATGTCTTCGGCATCATTTCATTTATTTTTTTTAAACATTTGCCTAAATGCCTAAAAAGGTGTTATTGGTACCTGTAAAAGAATAGGTAAAAGAGCATTGCCTTTTAGAAACAGGTCTAGTATTCCTATAACTAATATAAGTATTAATACATTATAATATATTATAGGTACTTGAATAAAATTTCCACCAACTTCAACAACATTTCTTTGTTCTTTTCAGAGGCTTTAAGCCCTAATTTTCGTTTTTCATACCTCCTAATGCAAATTTACTTATACCACATATTGCAAACATAACCCAATTGTGTATGTTTTATATTTCGGCAATCCTCTCAAACCTAGTTTTTATTAATAATAAGGTTTAGTCAGTTATAATAGTACATTATGTATCAAGTTTGATAAACGCCATTTTATACCCAAATTTAATTTAGGCACGAGCGAGCTTGCGAGCGAGTGCTTAAAAATTGATGATGAGTGTATAGAAAAGTTTATAAACGAGGTGCATACTATACTTTTTCTACGACAAATACTTATTATTATCTTAAAATAATTTAAATCAAAAATTTGTATAGAGCGCCATCTATGAAACAATGTCACCGTCAAATGTCAATTTTTTTTATTTTATAAAGGTTATAAATCGAAATGTATTTCTTGCAAATTGACAGTTTTTCACAGTGAAAGTAAAGACAATGTACACTTTACAGTGGAGTCCGTGCTCGAATTTAAGTTATAGTTTACTGCCGTCGAAATTTAAAGGTCAGTACAATGTTCATATAAACTTTTCAAATATTGGCGTTGAGAAACTATTTAATACTTTTTTATTTTTGTATTGAGATAATAAAATAATTTTCACATTTAGTATTATTTTACAAGAAAGGCACTTTATTTTAACGATTGTATGATATTTGACAACTGTCAACTAACTTAAAACTAACTTCAGCCCGTGACTAAAAACCTGTTGCTAACTTCAGCCCGTGGCTAAAGCGCCATAAAGCCACAACTACAATGTGTATTTCAAGGTCACTTAGTGTCATGGAAACATGTACGATAAAGGACGTTTTCAAGGTGGGAGTAGAAAAATGTATTTATGTGTATATTTAATATACATTTTATATGATAATAAACACATATACGTAAGATAACCTAACAAATCTTTACTGTCAAAATTTGCTAAGTTGACAAATTGGTTCAAACTGAAATAAGTGTGTATGCGAAAATCACTGATATAAATAAATCAACGTTTCTGCATACACTTTAATTTTCTTGAAATATTATAAACTCACTTTACCATCTAAAATAGTTAGGTAGAGTAGAAAAACCCAACTTCTTCGGGGATTAGACAGTGAAGAAGACGCCGATTGAATTCTGACCTTGAACATTACTGGTTTCATATTTTGTTTGTGTAAAATACTATTTTAAATAATTTAAGTATATAAATGTCCACAGGCACATAGAATAAAAAAAACATTCACTTATTTGTCTATTTTTTTGCAGAGAAAATCTAAAATCTCCAATAGAAAAACCAACATGTAATGAGTTAAAAACCTTCAAAGAATACAAATCGTTTGATGAAATTCAAATCTGCAATGAAGTACCATTTAACGTTACTAATGTCCCGCCTCCACAACCTGTGCCAAAAGGTATACTGCAGACCCAAATTAGCAACACACTGGAGAGGAACAAAAAGAAGGCCATGCTGAAGAAAAGCAACTCAATTAAATGGAGCGATGACCAAAAGCCGGAAATAAATGAAAATAAGGAAGTGCCACTATTAATGTCGGTAAACGAACCACTACCAAACGATATTGTTAAAAATGGGCCACAGGATATTGTTGCAAATATTCAACAAAACCTGCCTCTAGTCAATTTGTCCGACGACCAATCAGCGAGCGTTATGAAGGATCTTTCAGAGACGGAAAACGTTCCATTTCCAAACATTACTATCGTAAATGGGCCACAAGAAGCTGGTGATAAAATTCAACCTAACATATCTGTGGTCGATTTGTCCGAAAAAGAGCAATTATGTTGCTTTGCAAACGAGGAATTCTCATGCATTTCGACCATACAGATGAGCGACGGTAGCCAAGGCAACATGGCCCCGCGCCCCAAGCCTAAGCCCAAATGTTTTTGTAAACCAAAGCCTCCTGTGATTAAGGGATATGAACCTGGATTGCCGACTGTCTCCGAGTATCCGAACGATGCTAAGCTTTACCATGAGACTTTCTTGTAAACAGGTATTTCTTATTATTATTATAATTTTATTAAAGCCTGAATTAAAGATTGCCTTCCTTTCTTCCTCCCGTAGTCGTGCCCGTACGATTTGTGCGTCTTGTAAAAAGTCAATTTATAGATTTCCTTAAATAATACTAAACAATCATGTATTTTAAATATTTTAATTTTAATTAATTATTGATACTTTAAAATAATAAATAACTTCAAAAAATATAATTTTGTTAAGAAAATATTTTATCCTTTGATTTTTTTTATCACCTTCAGCCATCTATGCTATAATTGCAAAATATTAATAATATTATTAATATTAAAAATTCTTATACGGGAAATGTTAATGTTGACAATTACGTCAAAAATGTTTATTGGGTTTTGTATTGTTCATCTTCTACTGGAGGAAGGAAGGAAGGCAATCTATAATTCAGGCTTAACATGATTAATTTTGGTTGTTTTTGACATTGACAATGGCTCAAACCACCCTTAAATTTTGATACTAAAAATCGACGTCAAAATTCAATACTTTAACAGGGTTGCCACTCATCTGAAAAATCTGGAAATGTCAGGGAATTTAAATTTTTTAGAAATGTCAGGGAATTGGTTATTTATAAACAGGTCAACAAAATTTTTATATAAAAAAAATTATGTTAACGAGTGTAATAATATGGCAGCGCTCTATGTCAAACTTATCACTATAATCTTAGAAGTCTATATCACGACTTATCACTATAACCTTAGAAGTCTATATCACGACTTATCACTATAACCTTCTAAGACTATAACCAACTATTTTTATGGTTAGGGTGATTAATATTTGTTTATTTTGTAAATGGTAAGCATAATTAATAAACGAATTAATTAATCAGTAAAAGCATAATTAATAAATTAATTAATTAATCAGTAAAAATCATAGTTCCTGTTGATAAACAACTGTTTCAAGCCAAATGTTTGATTTGCAAGCAGTCATAGGCCACATAAAAAAAAGTGCGGGCCATTAAAAAAGGATTTCGGTAACGAAAAACACAAATTTGTAAAATTTTCTTAAAAAAAAGAACCAGATGGGAAATACTATTCTCTAAAAATGAATTAGTTAAAAATGACTAATTGTCATAGCGAAAAAGCAGCCACTAATAATTCTAGTCAACATTAATTTGTATCTCGGATATTTAGCACTCAATTCCTATGTAAAATTTTCTGCTGAATCCAAATATGTCGTCAAAAATTATGAAAGTGGGACAGATTTATTCAATTTTCCATATAATATGGAATTGACTATATCTCAAAAACTGCTATGACGGTCTCTTTAGATTCAGGGGACAATTATACATGAGAATTGGCTGCTAAATATCCGGGATACAAATTTCTGTTGACTAGAATTATTAGTGGCTGCTTTTTCGCTATGACAATTAGTCATTTTTAACTAATTTGTATCCAGGACATTTACCTGGATTCAAATTGCTGTGTACTACAGTTATTAGTGACTGCACTGAATTAGTCAAAAATGACATATTTCAAAGTGAAAAAGCATGTTTTTTCACTGGGAAATATGTAATTTTTGACTAATTCTTTTTTAGATGGTATGCTTGAAAAAGTTACAGTTTTACATTATGATAATATTAATAATAATATTGCTTTAGAAAATAACCAGAATAAATCAATTTCTTCAATAAAAACTCCTGCAAAAAATGATAGAAGAAATAAAATCTTTTTTTTTTGTACTATCAAATATTTACTGATAAGAACTCATCAACTTGATAAACAAGACCTGCCGCAGACAAAATTTCAAAGGCATTTTTAAAAATTTCAGATTGAACAGAAAATTAATGTAATAAAAACCCAATAAATAAAAACCTAAATTAAAAATTATCCCGAAAAAATTAGCTACAGAAAATTTTTTGAAAGAAGTATTGATTTTTTTTTAATGTTTTTGAATTTTATAAACTTCAATAAAAGTTTAGTTTTTTAATTAATCGTTATAATTCTCCACCGAGAGAAAAATAAATTCAAAGCACATTTTGTCTGGAAAAAAATCAGGGAAGGTCAGGGAATTCCTGGAAAAGTCAGGGAATTTGGTTTAGACAAATCGGTGGCAACCCTGTTTAAGGTTCTAGAGGTCAAAAGTTATCCCATACAATAGAAAATATAGGATACGCAGTTTAATTTATACATTTATTTATTATATTTATATTTATTTAAACACAAATTAAAAACATTAACAAATAAAAAATGTATTCGCACTAAAAATTACAACTTTACTTTTCTAGCCTTCAATTGAACATATTCGTTGATAACACTAGTTTACAAAATCGAAAAAAATTCTGCCACACCATATCTTATTATAATTTTTCCATGTATTTTGACCCACTAAACACGAAAATCACACTCAATTTTTTTTATGGAAGCTTTTTGAAATACTAATTTCCAATTGTGTTTTTTCAATTTTCGGAGGTGTTTTGACGATTTGGTCAAACAAGCCCTTAAATTGAAACTTTCTTTTACATACTTTTGATGTCTGATAAGTATTTTGACGCTAGCGATTTTAATAACTTAAAAAAATCGTTTTTATAGCAAAAATTGAGGTCGAAAATTTACATATCGTCCTGGGAAAGGTTTAAACCAAATAGATGACTCCAGTTTGATTTTTTTTTCGCGAAGCTAACATTTTTACAAAAAATACAAGCTAATGTTGATAAAAATACATGAAAAAATGGCGAAATTATGAATTTTTAGTTGAAAATCAAAATTCAGCTTTTTGACGATTTTTATTTTATTTTGTAATATGTATATTCTTTAATAAAAACCTAATTAAAGTGCATGATTGGAATTTTTTTGAGTTTTTACGTACTTTTTTCACAGAAAACATTCAAAATTTAAATTTGACATGACTCCGCAAACGTGAATTCTTTTGTTTCTCGTTTTGGCATAGTGACATTTTACTGCTATTTTTGATATTTCAATAAGGTATTTTTATCATGGTTTTATTTAGTTAATAAAAAGTGTAAAATGAGTAAAAGAAGTAGAGTTCGAATGCGTAAATATCCCGCACAATCTGGGCGACGTAAGTTATGAGCACGGAGAACGTTTTCACCAGCAAATGAAGGCTATGGAGCGGCGGTATCACGGCTTCTGGAATACAGCCATGATGGGTGATTACATTTGGTCCCTCATACGAGAAAAGGAATACGAAAGCAACAAAAAACAACAAGATTTTTTTTAATCTATGCTTATTACAACTAAATAAAACCGTCAATATCTTTAATGTTCAATATTTATTGTTTAATATTCAATATATAATTTAATTTCAATACTTAATGTTTAAAATAAAAATCATTGTTCAATATTAAATTTTCTATAATTCAATAAAATGAAGAAAAAACGTAAAAATTCTCGAAAATATGAATTATGGTCTTTCACTGAAAAATGCATAACTTCGCCATTTATCCATGAATTTTTATCACAGCAGCTTATTTTTTTTCCTTTAAGTATAATCTATACGTAAAATAAATCAAACTGGACTTATATTATCGATTTATATCTTTACCAGAAAGATATGTAAATTTTCGACCTCGATTTTTGTTAAAAAAGGACTTTTTTAACTTTATAAAATCGCCAGTATCGAACTACTGAGCCGATACCAAAACTATACAAGTGATTGTAGAGGGCTCAATTACCTTTTATTTAAGTGCTTGTTTGGTCAAATCGATCAATTAAAACTCGAAAAACGTCAAAACACCTACCTGTTTTTTTAAATCACCTGCTGCCATGCATCAAAGATGTTTGATAATTTTTAAAAGTTCAAATCTATTTGAGAATGTATGTGGTCAAATACAACTACGTAGTTAAGTTTAGATGTTTCCTTTTCAGACATCATAAACTCTTCAGTTTGCTCAGAATCAGAATTTTCCTTACTTTTAACTTTCGTTTATGTTGAAATTTTTCTTTCACAATTTTGTATAGTCACGGTGCTGTTCCGAGTGATTTTTTTTGTGATATTCCATTTACTTATGATGTGGGTAATTTAAAATTTACAAGCAAAATAAATAAAAATCTTATTAAAAATATGATGCCTTTTTTAAGTGAATAAAACTTGATTATTTAATTTTATTGAAAAAAATTTCTTAGAATGTTTTTATAACGTTTGTTTTAAAGGTAGCCATGAAGTTTTAATTTGTATGTTATTATCATCGTAACTAGAATTCAGCTTTTAATACGCAGCTGCGCAGCTGTCAAACGCGTATGTGTTTTTGAGAATAAAGCCGGAAAATGTTAAGAATATAAAAAAAACGTAACACGATTTGTTGTGTTGTTGGGTGTTTTTGGAGAGGAAATCCTGGGTTGAGTTTTTACCGGTTTCCCAATAAACAGTGAAAATCCGAATGAAGAAATAAATTGCATACAGTCCCTAGGGACTGTAAATATAAAGTTTACCTATTAGATACCATAAATACACATTTTAGTAATGATTTACGTAATAATTGTAAACATTTCAATTGAATAAAAATCGTCAAACAAATAAGTCGTCTAAATTTAAACAGCATTTAGCATTATTAAACGCGTTGATTAAGAAAGTCTCCACTCAACGGTATAATAGAAAGAACCGGTATTATGTTATGTATTATACAGGGTGTTTCATAATATATGCGCAGGACTTCAGGATGTGATAGCTCATCCAAAAAGATGAAAAAAGTCGCGATTAACATACGCTCTAAAATGCACAATTTTCGAGATACAGGGTGTTGAAATTTTAGAAAAAAATTCGTTTTTTTCGAATATCTCCGGAACAGTTTATCGTACAAAAAACAGCTTTTGTAAGCATTTTCTACTCAAAATAAGCTATGTTTTGTGCCAGAAAAATTCTGAAAGGGTAGCGGGTGTTTTTCTCCTTAACTTCTACGCCCCTGAAAAAAGTACGGGTTTGAGAGGCCCATTCGAACCGCCAATGTTTTCTACACAAAAAAGGTACTCTTGGTCATAAGCTCTAAACTTGACCGTTTTCGAGGAAAATCAACTTTTATGTTTAAAAACATGGCCAATTTAAAAAAAAAAATAATTTTTTTTACAAATTAAACAAAATTTATTTTAACATTAGAACAAGTAACAAAACCAAACCATAATTGCAAAATAAAAAATGATTCAAAAGTTGTCTTTGCTAAATTCTCCAAACCGTAAATGTAACGCATTTCGCACATTTCAGCATTTGTGTAAAAAATCATTTATATATTTTTTTTAATTTTGCAATTATCGTTTGGTTTTGTTACTTTTTCTAACGTTAAAATAAATTTTGTTTAATTAGTAATAAAAATTTTTTTTCAAAAAATTGACCATGTTTTTAAACATAAAAGTTGATTTTTCTCGAAAACGGTCAACTTTAGAGCTTATGACCAAGAGTACCTTTTTTGTGTAGAAAACATTGGCGGTTCGAATGGGCCTCTCGAAACCGTACTTTTTTCAGGGGCGTAGGAGTTGAGGAGAAAAACACCCGCTACCCCTTCAAAATCTCCACCAATTATGAGTAAAAAAAATTTTTTTCTGCCATGGCACAAAACATAGCTTATTATGAGTAAAAAATGCTTACAAAAGCTGTTTTTTGTACGATAAACGGTTCCAGAGATAATCGAAAAAAACGATTTTTTTTCTAAAATTTCAACACCCTGTATCTCGAAAATTGTGCATTTTAGAGGGTAAGTTAATAGCGACTTTTTTCATCTTTTTGGTTGAGCTATCACATCCTGAAATCCTGCGCATATATTATGAAACACCCTGTATATAATATTATGTTGCCATGAATTCGTAGACATATTTTGTCATCTATGCCGTTGAGTGACCTTAATGAATGTTTTGTCGTTTAAAATGCAGTTGTCGTTTTTTAGAGGACTCTTATATAAAACACATAAAGCACATTTTGGCAACGATGAATCCAGTGAAATTTACTTATTGTTTGTCGCCTCATCGCCGTGACGTGACTTTGTGACCTGGAAATAACCATGTTATCGTTGATTAAAAATTCTCACTCAACACAGTCACATTAATAAAACATATTTTTTTATTAATAAAGGTACAATTTTTCAATTTATGTAAAACTCATTACCATTACAAGTTGTAGTTAATTATTTGCTTTATTTCAGGTGGAACTTGATGTGCCTATACTTTTTAGCCGATAATTTATAAGTATTAAAAGTTTCGTTTTTTTTTAATTAGCATGTAAGTTTAACCGAAATACTAAGTTTTGTTTAATGAAAGTATTTCCTTTTTTTTTGTTGTTAAATTAGCATGTAAGTTTTTACTAAAATACCAAGTTTTGTTTGTTATCTAATTTTTTTTGTTTTTTTTATTATTATTATAACGGATAAGAATGTTATGTTTTTGTTTTTTAATTTATTTACTATAGTTAAGTTTCGTTGACAATAAATATTTTTGCATTAGATTTTGGCTATTATTTTGATCCTGTTTTATAATAGTGTCCTTTGCCATATTATTAGGGACAGTGGTAATTCTTTCCAAAATCGAAGTTTAAATGTATTTAGTGAGAAAAATAACTGACCCTTCTGGAGTTACTATTTGTTTTGTTTTGCTAGTGGTACTATGATAGTACATGTTATATAAGAAGATTATATATAATCTTAGTACTATGTTTCAATATTTCTCAATATTCTCTAAAATATTTTGATTTTTCTTAATATTCTTGAGAATACTCAATTTTTACTAACAGTTTGCTTAATACTTTTACTGGTGTTAAAATCATTTTTATATAAAAAAAAACTGAAACGTTTAATAGAATCAATAAAAAAACTTGCCAACAATAAAAAGTTAAACAAAAGGAACAAACGGTCTTCTTAAACCACACACATTAAAATTTTTGAATTGCATTTTTTTAATTGGCATTCTCATTTTTTTTTGCAAAGACTGCTTTTGGGTATGTGAAAAAAGAAAACACGTGTTGTTTTGTCAGAAAATATTTGCTTGCTGACTCAGTGCAAGAACTACGTAAGGAAGAGAATCTCTGGTTGCGTGCACGGGCTTATGGCCATCTAGGATCATATATGATCCCTAAGTATCATTCACAAACCAGAGGAATGAGCTCTAAAGGTGGTAATAGGTTTATATATTTTTAACAAGGTGGTAAAGTAATTTATATTTTTAGCTTAGTTTTACTGATAATTCAGGGTTCTGAAATCAAAAATAAAAAGTTGCAATTAAAGAATATAAATAGTTTTTTCTTACTACCTCGACTCAAAATACGTTGTTTCGTCCCCGATTCCACGGCAGAAAGTTTACGTATCTTGCATTGGTCAATCTATACGCGCACACTCTAATAGCGGGAGTAATAGTATATTACACTACAAGGGCAGAAAGTGTGAGATTCCTGCACTGCGCGCCATGACTCCCGCTATTAGAGTGTGCGCGTATAGCTTGACCAATGCAAGAAACGTAAACTTTCTGCCGTAAAATCGGGGACGAAACAACGTATTTTGAGTCGAGGTAGTAAGAAAAAATTTTTTAGTCGTGTGCTTAACATTCAAATTTCGTACTGCCAACATGAGAAACACAAAAATATGACAGTTTTAAACCATAATTTTGCAATTATAACAACAAATAAACAATTTATGTTTTTACTTTTTTACTTTTTATGTTGTTTTAAGTGTTTAATGATACTTTTATTTGTTATAAAGTAGTAATTTGTTAATTAAAATACAACGTTTTATTTTTACTGTATTGGCACCGCTGAATTCACGGCCTACTGATATTTATTTATCAAGCTCTTCAAATGGAGATAGGTACATAAATACACATTTAATTTTTTCCCGTATTTTCGGCCGGGTTGTATTTTCGGCCGAGGTAGTAAGAAAAATAGTATACACTACACGGGCAGAAAGTGTGAGAGTCCTGAACTGCGCGCAGTGCAGGAATCTCACACTTTCTGCCCTTGTAGTGTAATATACTAATTTTCTATTCTGCCTTTATGTTAGACGTCTTTAGTTAAAACATGCCAGATTAATGATAATTTAACAAGATTTTTGTCTACAACTTAATAATATTAATTATATTTTCAAATATTCTTTAGAAAGCCAATCTATACCTTTCTTTAAAAAAAATACATGTATGTCCACTGGATGAAAATTTCCACTAGATAAATTTTCATTCTATAAAATTTCCACTTGATACAATTTTCATTGGATAAATTTTCCACCTGATAAAATTTCCATTGAATAAAATTCCATTGAATAAAATCCAGTGGGAATTTTATTCAATGGAAATTTTATCAGGTGGAAAATTTATCCAATGAAAATTGTATCAAGTGGAAATTTTATCCAATGAAAATTTATCTAGTGGAAATTTTCATCCAGTGGACATTTTCTCCAGTGGAATTTTTTCCCAATGAAAAATTTATCCAGTGGAAATTTTATCCAATGCAAACGTATATTTGAAAAGCCTTTTATCGTTAATGAAATTTTTGGACTGCTAATCTTTTTAAAAAGGTTTTTAAAATTATTTAGATAATAACGTCATGAACAGGATTCATTTAAAAAAAAACTGTAAAAATTAACTTACCGTAATTAAAACTCACTTGTTGCTTAATAAAAACTTCTAAATCTACCTTATCTGTGTAGTGTGAAAGACACGATTCCGTGATGATTATCATCTCATGTGATAAAACCACCAATCAGAACAACCTAAGCTTATATTATTTCGCCTCAAAGCAATCGAACAGTTCGCGGCGAACTTGGCTGATATAATTCCGCTTTGCGCCTGGATGTTTATTTACGCTTAGTATAATTGATTGTTTTTTTTACTTTTTATTGAGTAGAAGAGTTGTAAAAATACACTTGTTTAGGCAAAAAGCTAAATACAAAAACTCGTTCGTCCCTTCATTTTAAGGGTGAGTCGCTACCTCAGAGGCCTACCCTGACAAGCCGCCACTGCTTAGAGGCCTATTCCCTTTCTTGCTGTTTATAAATATCGATTTCTTAACATGTACATATATTCACCCAACGACAACCCAAACATCACCTATGTTTAAGGCTATTCCGTTCCTCATATATTTATAAATCTTTCTGAACAGCGATAAATATTCTAGGGCAGAGAGTATCTTAGTCCCAGATCGTAAACTAAAATCGTGTTAAATAATTATTTTATAAATCATTGGTGATATTTAATATATTAAATAAACTTAAAAACAACTTACAAAAATCCACAAATTCTAAACATACCTAAAAAAAAACGTTTTATGCTGAACTAGACAAAGAACAGATCTTCTGGCAGGGCCATTAAGTCCATCCTTAAATGAAAAAGGGTAATTTTAAAATAATAATTTGTTACTTATTTTTACACAGACTTTTAGTGACTGAAGGCCCATATAAGGAAAAGGGCAAGGAAACTACGCATTTCTCACATGGAGACTGGCAATGACATTGAGGATAAATTACTAGCCCTAACTGGAAAGTTAGTGGTGGAGGGATTACCAACTCTTGAACTCTGCATGCCGAGCATTGCATTGACCAGGCTGTTTGGAAGGGCCACTTCTACAACAGAGAGGCAAAAAGAGGCCAAGAGAAAGTCCAACTCAAACTCTGATGCAACTCTAATGAAAGTCTGAGCAAAGGTGTAGAGTGGTCTTTGGTGTAGGTATTGTAATTGTTAAAACCTAAATGGGATTTTAAAATTAAACAAAAAAAGTTTTAGCTCCCATTTGAAGAAAAAATTTGAGATGAGTTTTTAGATGCATATTATTTTTTATTTTATTAGTTCTTATACTTTTGTTTCACTAATTTTTTGTCTTTATTTTTAGTAATAATATTACATTGGTATTTGATATTTTATATTTGTTGTATTTTTTCTGCCCCACACGGAGAGAAAAATTTTGCTAATTTAGCCATACAAATCCTCAGTTTAATAAAACAGTTGACTAAATTCACGATACGTCATTTAACAATACTTTGGATAGTTATTTTAGCAAAATTTTTCTCTCCGTGCACTTGGAATTTACAATTTAGAAAAGCAAAATTTGTATTTTTGTATTTAAAAAATACGTTTTAATAATTAAAAAAATAAATCATAAAAATATTTTCAATATTGCAAAATATATTTTTATTTGTTTGGTGTAATGTGTCCTATTTATAAATAATTGTGTATCATTTATAATTATATTTAATTATGTATTAATTATGAAAAAGTTATTAATTTTTATTTACTAAATAATTTAAGACAACCACTATGTTTTCATTGTTTACTTTGTCTGTGGCAGCCGCTAAGGTTGGACGTGTTTTATGAGCTCGGTGATTTTTCGTTCGTTAAAAGAAATCGATCAAAGAATTTGTATCCAATTTTGCTTAAAAAATGAAATAAATTCTGTGAAATGTTAACAAAGGCCTACAGTGAGTCTGCTATAAGTAAAACAAGAGTTTACAAGTGGTATAAGAGTTTTCAAGATGGCCGTGAAGACGTTGAAGATGAACGCCCCGAACGCACAAGCACATTAACAACCGATAAAAACATGGAAAAAGTGGAATAAATGGTTATAAACCATCAGAGAAATCGTTGATTGTTCTAATTTTAAAATTGTTAAATTTTGAACAAAATTTTTGGCAATGATGCTCCAGTCTCCATATTCGCCAGACATGTCTCTGTCTGACTTTTTCCTATTCCCAAAAATAAAGAGAACATAGGGCCGTCGTTTTGCAAGCATAGATGACATTAAAAGCGCATCGCTGAAAGAACTAAAGGCTATCCAAAGGTCGAGTTTTAGAAGTGTTTCGAGTATTGGAAAAAGAGCTGGCACATGTGTATAATATCCAATGGGGACTATTTTGAAGGTGACAACATTAATGTAGACGAATAAATAAATATTTGTTTCAAAAACCGAAAATTTCCGATATTTTATTAACACACCTCGTATGTTCACCAAACACCAAAGTTTGGAAACGGTATAGCAAATTAGACACCGATGATGTTTATAAAATTATTTGAGCGTATGCGTCTATAGACGAAATAATTGAAAGGGAATAGGGAAGACGCATACACCTTAAGATATGATGGCGCGCATGTAGGGTGGGGCTAATTTAGCGTCACTCTTTGAGTTAAGCCTGATTTATAGATTGCTTTCCATCCTTTCTTCCTTCCTCCCGTAAAAGATGAACAATACAAAAATCGTAGTGCTATTTATAGATTGTAAATTGTATTTGTTTAAAAATAAATAATAAAAAAAATAGAGTTATAGAGTTTCATGTAATTAGGGAGAAAACTTCAGTTGCAATAAATATTAAAATAAAAAGGGTTCTAAAATTTAGAATCTAAATATTCAAGTAACGAAAACTACTATAAACAATTTGAATATCGGCGAAATATTTTATGGATACTTACGTGAAAAAGGTATAATCTGAAACACATTAAGAATTGCTTATTCCG